TTACAATCTTATCGGAGTTGGGCAGTCGAAGGCCAGGCCAGTTGTGGCAGCTTCTCGTGATCGGGGACAAAGGTGGGGGTGGGAGGGCTCTGAAGCCTTGCTCCACCGTCCTCATCACGTGGCGTCCACTCAGGGTCAGCTCCGGCTGCCCGTGGCCTGAAGGAAGGAGGAAGGAACAAAGAGAGCTGCCTGTGATGGCGGGCTGTTCTGCTTCATCTGTGTGGTCACAGTGTAGTCACCGCTCATTACAGCCAGCCCCGCTGCTACTGGGTGGATCCAATCATGGTGACCCTGAAGGACAAGGTAGAACTGCCCCCGTGGGTTTCCCAGACAGTGCCCCTTTTAAAAAATAATTTTATCGGGAGAGCACACAGTTCTTACCACAATCCATCTGTCCATCCGTCGTGTCACCACATTTGTACACCTGTTGCTGGGATTGTGGTTTCAGAGTGCCGACTTTACAGTCGTCAGCCCACCACTCGGCCTGAGCGCCGTCCGTTACATCTTTATTCCAGGTACCCATTAAAAGTCAAGGCTTCTGTACCTGCAAAAGGACAGGGTGGATATGTGGGGGGCCTGGCATTTCCGGAGCATGGGGAGGTAGGGTAGGGATGGCTGTGGAGGGCAACAGGCAGAGCCTTACACCAAGTGTCCTGCATTTTCTCGGAAGCCACGGTATATGACCTTTTCATATGGTCAGCCCACTCCCAGAACAGCTGACCCAGAGCAGCTGACCCAGAGCAGCCTGCACTGCACATCCAGTGGGTCCCGCTGGCGTGGCAGGGCGGTAGCAGCCGCGTCGCCAGACCAAGAGTTGGGCAATCTGGCGTTCTGGCCTGAGCTCTGTTCTGGAGCTGCTTTTCCTGCGGGCACCTCAGTGAGCCATGAACGAGATGGCCCCTAAACCTGCTGAGAGCCAGACTAGCTGCTGTCAGGCGGGAGCCAAGCAGGGAGCATCCTCTTCTTGTTCCTAGTGCTTGAGTTGATGGAGGCCCCAAGCTCAGCCCTGTGCCCAACCCTGGCGATGCTGACAAAGGAGGTAGGTTCGCTGCCCTGCGCCTGCGGGGAAGTCGTCCTGAGCAGGAGTGGATCATAGCCAGCCTGGAGAGCTTGTTGCCTAGGCAGAAGACGCAGGGGGGATCGGGAGCCTTCTCCCGGGGCATTTAGATCAAAAGCACACGGCCCTGCCTACAGCCTTAACCTGAATCTGATCTCCACTCTCAACTTAACCTGAAGCTGATCTCCACTCTCAGATCCGACCTGTCTGTGTCAGCAAGCACTCACGGTCTCCCGGGCACACTTGCCCTGCCCTCTGCAGGCCCCAGGTTTGAAGCTGTGGTTTTTTGAGACAGGACTACAAAGAACCCTTTGGAGGGTCCCAGAGCCCTGGGTACAAGGTCGGCAGGGAGGGCAGGGTGTCCCTGCCTCTGGGAGGTTGCTTGCCATATCTTTGATCCAAACACCGACTTGTATCAGATATTGTTGCTGATCAGTCTCTCGGAGCCTGAGCAGAGCTGCTATACTGCCTTGGGCTGCGGAAGACCGCAAGGCCAGTGCAGGACAGGTAGAGCTCCAGGGACAGGGACAGGGACGGCTAGGAGAGAGAACTAAACGCTCATTGCTGCCCTGTGTGGCCCAGGGCAAATACACTCCTCCACTGGGCCCGAGCAGGGTTTTTAGCCGGACCTCAAAGACATAGGGCTAAGAGACCTGAGTTGGCATCAGTGGGGTCACTGGGAGGGGCAGGGCTGTGGACTGTGCACTGTGACTCCCAAATGACCGTCTATGAAACATTTGTGCAGTGAGAGTGTGTTAGCTAAAATTCATTCTTTGTGGGGGGAAGGATCCCTGTTCTGGCAACAAAAACCCTTTCTTAAGCCCAGCTTTCCAATACCCACGTACCGATGATCAGGGCTGGGACTCTAGGCTAATGAACTGTGGGAATCCGAGGCTTTCCGGTCAGACACTGGGAAGCCTGTCCTTTCCTCCGCAGGCCTATAAACCTTGTAGCTACAAACATTGTTTCTGTTGCTGCTGGCTGGCTCCGATATTGTGGTATTCCTATCTGTGAGTCTAGATCGATAACCTTTTTTGAGAATGAAGAAATCATTAAAGAAAAAAAAAGAACAAAACGGACTGCCTTCAGTCGATGCCACGTCATAGCAACCCTGCAGGACAAGGTAGAAGTGCTTCTGGGGGACTCTGAAACGGTCGCCCTTTGCGGGAGTAGAAAGCCTCACCTGTCTCCCAAGGAGCAGCTGGTGGTTTCAAACTGCTGGCCTTGTGGTTGGCAGCTCAGCCCGTTACCTGGCATACCAGCAGAGCTCCTCATTAAAGGACAAGAAGGAGAACGCATTTGAAAACTTCTCCGCTGTAACTAATAACATGAGTTAATAATTAATAAATAATATTCAGTGCAGAGAGATTTTTAAAACTGTTTTGTTGTGGGTGTTCATATAATCTTAGAAATATTACATCTGAGCAAGTTACAGCTACATCAATTTTACTGTCTGGTTACAGGTGATTGTAAACAGGGCTGAAGACACTGCAGGGTCTGGTACCGGAAGCAGTCCATGGGGGTGGTGGGGAGGCTAACACCATGAGGTACCCCCACTAGGTAACACCAACCCGGATGACACCCCAAGTTAGCATATGGCTTTATGAGGGCTGGGGCTCCAAGGGCAGGTTGCCTGGGTTGGAACTCTGACAGTGTCACCCCTTAGACCCATGACCTTGAGCAAGTTCTCCAAGTCCAAACTCAGGAATAAGAATAGCTCCTGTCTCGTGGAGCTGCTGTAAGAATTCCAAATAGCACAACATCCTTTGTGACTCAGAGTGACAGTGATTTGTCTTTTCCAGTTATCAACTTCTATAAAACTTTGTCCTACACACACACACACACACACACACACACACACACACACACACACACACACGGACAGCAGCTAGGAAGGGCTTTTCCTTCACAAGGAATTCTCAGTCCGTCTCTACACCTCCAGACAAGAATGTACCTTTTGGATAGCATTTGTCATCAATATTGTTTATTAGTATAGAAGTGAAGAAAAGCCACCTCGTCGCCTTTCCCCCTTGGTACCACCAGGCCGTGGGAGCGGTCAGGCCCTCACTCAACCCTCAGGGTAGGTAGCGCATGTAGGCTGCAGGGTCCTTGGTCAAGGCTCAGAGCCTTGGAAAACACCCAGGAGGTGGATATGGGATCCTGCCTGCCTAAAGCCCTCGGAGGGGAAGTCTGGTATCAAGTCTCACCTGGCAGGAATTGAGCCTGGCAAGGACTGTGCCACAAGTGTTGCAGCACCAGTCTCGCCTCAGTCAACGTGGGGGGTGAAAGATCGGATGGCCCCATCTGTCAGGGCACAGCAATTCCAGCCCCACATCACTCCCCAAGAACAGATTTCCTGTGGAGAGGAGGAGGCGGGTGAGCCGGAGCCCTGAGTCACCATCCTCACAAGTCTCTGGGGTCCTCTTCTCACCAGCTGGGCCTCTGCTTCCCCTTAGTGGGGGGGGGTCACCCCACATGTACACCTGCTCCTGGTGGCAGAGTCATGATGATAGGAAGGAAGAATGCAAATGGCCTTCTGGAGCGATGTCACTATCTGGAGAGATGCCCGGGGACGGCTGAGGACGGACTTGTGTTTGGTTTGGTTTTCAGGTGACCCACAGAATGTGCATCAGCTAGAGTGAGCACCTTTGGGGTGCAGGCCTTTGTCTGTGTCCCCCACATGGACCCGTTCAGCCCTCGTTCATCCTAATGGGGACAAGCTATTATTGTCATCCCCTTACAAACAAGGCTCCAGGAGGCTGAGCCTTGGGGCAAGGAACCAGCTCGTGCCCTGGGGAGTTGCGGAGGAACCCCATTCACCCTCTCCCTGCAGGAACTGGGAGGAAGACTCAGACCCTGTCCCCAGAGCCTACCCCTCTGGCAGACAGGCAGTAAGCACTGTGGTTGGGGCCTCTGCTAGCTGGGGACACCTTACTGATGTCCTGCCTGTGCTGAATTGTGAACACACACACACACACACACACACACACACACACGACCTGTTCCTATCAAGTTGCTTCCAGTTCATAGCCACCCTGCGTGTTACAGCAGGTTATAGGTTTTCTTAACTAGTCTGGAAGTAGATCGCCAGGCCTTTCTTCCGTAGTTCTTCTGTGTGGGTTTGAACCGCCCATTGTTCGGTCTGTGCAGGGCCATCAGGGCTCCAGGGGGTCCCGTGCTGAGGCCAGGTGTAGCCAGGGCAGACTTGGACCATTTCCACATGGGAAAGTTAGCCCAGACCCAAACGAGGGGGGCCCTCGGGGCTGGTGGAGTGTGGTGGGCCATGGAAGGGGGTCCCCGGAGCCAGATTGACAAGGGGGCTCATGCCGCTCTGACCGCCTCCCCCTCAGGTGGTGAATCAGACACAGGCCCTTGGCCTGCTGGTAATACCATGAATAACCCTAGGCGGGGTGGGGGTGGGGGACAGGACTAGAAGTGTGGGGGGAGCTGACTTCTCAGCCCCCTCAGGCCAGGAGGCAGCAGCTGCCCACCAGCCTCAGCCTGCCAGCTACTGTCCCTAGCCCTATGCCACCCACTGCCCTGAGAGGGGACAACTTGAGGACCAGTTTCCCGGCCTCTTCCCAAACCGCGTATGTAAGAGTCTGTGTGGTGAGCAGGCTGCCCCCATGATGGCGGGTCACCTGGTTGGGGGACGGGTTGGGGGTCTCTGTGCAGAGAAGTGTCAGCTGCGAGAGACCACCTGCAAGTGGTTCTCCTTTGAAAAGGCTTCTTCTTGGGATTCCCCTGAATTTTCCAGGTGCCCTTGGAACATTCAGGGTGTGTTCCTGCACTGAAGTCATGGGTTTACATGGAAAAAGATCAAACTGCCCGCCTCAGCCTGCGGCAGCAGGGAGCAGGGGAGGGTCCAGGCTGGGCTGGGAAGGAGGCCCTGCCTTCGCCAGCTGGTCCCCCAGGCTCTTCTCCTCCCCCCCCCCCCCCTCAGGATGTGAAGATCTTCCGGGCCCTGATCCTGGGGGAGCTCGAAAAGGGCCAGCGCCAGTTCCAGGCCCTGTGCTTTGTCACCCGGCTGCACCACAGCGAGCTCATCCCCAGCGAGGCCATGGCCAAGCTCCGGCAGGTGAGCCCCGCCCCACTCTGCCCCTGCAGCCGGCCGGGCCCCGCCCAGGGTACCACCCAGCCTCACTGCCTCCCCAAGCCCCTCCTCATCCTGTGGCCCCCGGGCCACCTTAGACCTTGTCTCTGACATCCCCCTCATCCTCCACTCCCAGACCCCCCGGATGTGGCCTGTGGCCCTGGTCCCAGATCTCTAACCTCACAACATCCTCCACCCCTCCCCTGGCCTCGGTCTCTCCCCTCCTCCCTCAGCCTTCCTCCATGCAGGATGGAGAGAAGCACCCAGCTCCACCACTCACTGCTTGGGTGGCGGTGGGCAGGTGAGGTCTCCCTGTGGCAGCCTCACAGGGGGCCTGGTGAGGATGAAAGAGGACAATATGCACCAGGAGCTCAGCAGAGGGTTCAAAACCCCTACGCACATGGATCTGCCCCAAACCAGGAGCCCGGGTACCCCTCTCTTCCTGACCCTGGATCGCCCTCCTGCCTCCAAGCCCTTACAGGATCTGCCAGGCCGCAGAAAGAGCAGGGAGACAGGAGTCATCCTTCCTGAAAATAGCTAGCAGGCACCTCCCCGCCTTTTCCCTCTGCCTAGCCCTCCTAGAGAGCCCCAGGCACCTGGATGTCCCAGGCCATTGAAGCAGTGTGCTGGGACAGCATGCTGACCTGCACATCTCCAGCTTTACCACTGGCAATATCCCAGAATCCCCCATCAAGCGAGAGATCAACTTGGTGGCCAGCAAGTAGCTTGAGAACAGTCCTTCCTGAGTAGAAGCGGAGTCTGGTCCCCACTGGGCATCTGCTACTCAGCCAGTGAAGGTGGGGAGGAGCCAAGATGCCCCTGCCAGGGCCACCAGTGCCCTAGAGGAAGCATCTTGGGGATGCCAGGGGGAGAGGGGGTGAGGAGTGAGTGCCCTGCTGCTCGGGAGTGACCTCTCTCTCTCCCCATTTAGAAAAACCCCCGGGCTATACGGCAGGCGGAAGAGGTGCTGGCCCTGGAGCAGCTGCACATGGACATGGCGGTCAACTTCAGCCAGGGGGCGCTGCTGAGCCACCACCTCCGCAACGTGTGTGCCGAGGCTGCAGACGCCATCTACACCCGCCAAGAGGATGTCCGGTTCTGGCTGGAGCACGGTCAGCTGGGTGCTGGGCACGGCCCGTCACGGAGCTCCCCCAGGCCAGGCCTGAGGGAGAGGGCCTGGAACGGAGTCTGTGTCATGTGTGCAAGACACATTAGTTGAGCATGTGCAGGGCCCCCGGAGGATGGCTCTGGAGAGTTACCTGTCTGAGCCATTTGGGAAGTTCCTGGGGAAATCCCATCACCTTTCCATGCCATGCCCGCCCACGACAGTGGGGTGATCAGGCAGGAAGCCGAGTCTGTGTGGCTCACCCATAAGGAGGAGTCCGTCTGAGCAAAGAGATGCAGCCCAGGTGACCTAGAACTTCCACTCTACCTGGCGGGGTGGATGGCATCCCAGATGACTCAGCCCCACCTCCTCCCTCAGTGAGGATGCAGTGATGGGCTTCTGGCCAGGCCCAGGGAGGCCCATTCCTCTCCCACTTCTCAGAAGTCAGCTCCCCTCCCCTCTGTCCCAGGGCTAGCATCTGCTGCACTGGCCGTGTGGCTCCCACGCTGCCCAGCTCTGGGTACCTCTCGCAGGACCTCCCTCAGGTCCTCTCTGTACAGAGAAACCACTGTTCCACCCCGAGGCCCCAGGCCTCCTGCCCGGCCTGCTGAGCAGGAGAAAAGTGCCCAGCCCTCTCAGGCAGGGCTGGAGCCACAGATGTCCACACAGTGCAGTGGCCCTGCCCTCCCAGCGGGCTGCACTCAAACTGAGATGCAAGCCTGAGACTGGCCCTACAGAGGGTGGTCTGTCCCATGGCCACAGAGCCAAGCCAGGGCCAGACCCCTGCCATCTCCTCACTCCTCCTCAGACACACGCTCTGGTCCTCCACACGTGCCAGCCCGATGTGAGCACGCTGTGTCCCCCCTGCCACTTGCCAGCCTGGCCCCACTCAGAGGGTGTCGCCTTTAAGGAGCCTGGATTCCGACTCCCTCGCCCCAGACCACCGTCAGCACACAACAGCCTCTCACTACCATTGAGACCACTCCAACGCACAGTGACCCCAGAGAGGGTTTCTGAGACTGTAAATCTCAGCCTCATCTTTTCCCCAAGGAGTGGCTGGTGGGTTTGAACTGCCAACCTGCAGTTGACCGCCCAGTGCTTCCAAGGCAGCACCACCAGGGCTCCTTACACACCAGCATCCAAAAAAGTGCTGCAAACTCGCTGCCATCACAACGATGCCACCTCATCGTGACCCTGGAGGACTGCCCTGTGGGCTTGCGAGGCTGCACATCTTCAGAGAAGTAGAAAACCTGTCACTCT